ATGTTAGTGAGGTAATGGTATGAATATTCATTAATAACATGTTCATCCAGCAGCAGCTATATAAGCTGGGAAGAAATAAAGATCTTTGCTACCTGCCATCAGAGCAGTAGTCTCCTTTATGTCTTAAATATTCCACTGCAAAATCTACACCTGTGTCGCTGGCCACTCATAAGAAACTTTCATGCAACAACAAAAATATAAAATACGTCATTCTTTTATTTATTTATTTATTTTTGAGACAGAGCTGTCAAGCTGTCCCCCTGGGTAGAGTGCCATGGCATCACAGCTCACAGCAACCTCCAACTCCTGGGCTCAAGCAATTCTCCTGCTTCAGCCTCCCAAGTAGCTGGGACTATAGCTCTTCTATTTTTTTTGTCCTGGAAAATAATTATATTCATAAAAGGTAATGGGGGACAGTGCCCATAGTTCAGTCGGCAGGGCACCAGCCACATATACCCAGGCTGGTGGGTTCAAACCTGGCTGGGCCAGCTAAAACAACAATGACAACTGCAACAAAAAAATAGCTGGGCATTGTGGTGGGTACCTGTAATCCCAGTTACTTGCGAGGCTGAGGCAAGAGAATCGCTTAAACCCAAGAGTGTGAGGTTGCTGTGAGCTGTGACACCACAGTACTCTACCCAGGGTGACAGCTTGAGACTGTCTCAAAAAAAAAAAAAAAAAAGTTAAGTATTGCCATTTAACACAAACTGGTAGAAGTGTCTCAATTTTAATGTCAAATTGGATAAATATGTTAAGATATAACTCACATAAACAAAAGCTCTTTAGGGTCCTCAAAAATTTTAAGTACAAAGGGTCTTTTGGCCAAAAAGTTGAAGTGCTGGTCTAGAGAAGCAGTGGAGTCTTGGAAGGTAGCTGTCTTTGGGAAGCCAGGCTCAGGGAAAACAGTGTTTGTGGACTGGCTATGTGAATGTAATGCAGGACTGCAAAGCAGCCAGCAAGATTTTCTGTTGATAACTAAAGACAAAGTCTTAAAATATAAGTCACAGCAGACAGCAAATACTAATAGCAGAGTATGTTGATGGCTATTGGGATAAAGACTGGTTTTAAGACCATGCCTGTTATACTTGAACTCAAGTTGAATAACACCATCATAAAGAAGAAAAGCTAAGATTTAAGAGTCTGGGTCTTAGAGATCATATGCTCAGAGTTTAGCATAGTGCCTAGCATAGAAAGAGCTCAGGAAAAATATCCTGTAATAAAAACCCAGGAAGTTGTCAAGAAATTTTCAAGTGTTTGTTGTTAAGACAAAACTCACAATAAGAGGAAAGAATAACAAAATGCATATAATTCATTACAAAATGACGATTTCCATTTTTTTTGTATTTCCAAGTATATAAGGTCTAACAAGATCATGAACTCATTCTAGAGAAAGTGCTTTGAAGTGTGGACTAGGTGCTGGCATTGGTGCATGGCCTCCCAAGGGGAGTACTTTGAAGGTGCTGGCAGTGATGTTCAACAATGAGACATGAAGCACTTTTCTAGGATGAGGTCATGAACTTAAATGTCAGATCCCATACATTTTTTTTTTTTTTTTTTAGAGACACAGTCTCACTTTCTTGCCCTCAGTGGAGTGTTGTGGCATCACAGCTCATAGCAACCTCCAAATCCTGGGTTTAGGCAATTTTCTTGCCTCAGCCTTTGAAGTAGCTGGGACCACAGGCACCTGCCATAATGCCTGGCTATTTTTTTGTTGCAGTTTGGCTGGGGCCAGGTTCAAACCCTCAGTATATGGGGCCGGTGCCCTACCCACTGAACCACAGGTGCCGCCCAATCTCATACATTTTTAATTATTGAAATTATAATGGATGTTAAATGTCTATAAATTAGTATGTTGCTATCCTTTCTTGACATTCATCCATATACTTCCAAGCTTTTACAGAAATGTTGCAATGATTTGTTTG